TAACCCTAACCCTAACCCTAACCCTAACCCTAACCCTAATCCACACCTAACCCTAAACCTAACCCTAAACCAAACCCTTAAACCTAATCCTAACCCTTACCTTAATTTAAATCGGCTTTCTGCCACCGCACTGTTTTAAAGCGCCCTTCTGTCACCGTGCTGTTGGCGCCGCAGTGATGACGTCCCGTCTTTAGCGACATGGTTTTGTCACCGCTATTTTGACGAGCGCGGTTTTGTCGGGTCACGATAGAATAGAATATAGGATAGGATAGAATATAGAATAGGTAGAATGGGATAGTATAGGATATAGAATAGAATAGAATATAGGAATAGGATAGGATAGAGTAGAATATATGAGAGAATAGAATAGAATAGAATATAGAATATGAGAGGATAGTATAGGATAGAATATAGAAAACAATAGAATAGAATATAGAATAGAATAGAATATAGGAATAGGAATAGGATAGAATGGAATATAGGATAGGATAGGATAGAATATAGAACATAGAATAAAATAAAAAATAGAATAGAATAGAATAGAATTCTTTTTTAGCTAAGTGTGATTTTTACACAAGGAATTTGTCTTCGGTGAAGATGCTCTCCGTGTACATAAAAGATATAAGTGATAAATCATCATCGTAGTCATCATAAATACCATCATAAATCATAATTCTTAGTATAGTCATTGGTTACTACTAAGCAATCAAATCGTACTAGGAAGCTAAATAAAACAATAATAAATCTTAAGATACAAGCAACAAAGTTCTAGTCGTAAGCAGGAAAGGAAATGGGTAATTGGAAGGAAGAGAAGAATCTGAGTAGATCATTGGACAGTGTTGAGGGGATTATTTCTTTAGCAGAGTGATGGCGTTTGGGGGTGGGGGGGGACTGTCCTTGTGTCCAGTTGTTCTGGTGTGCAATAGCAGTGTTGGTGAACCTTTTCAGCACTCAGTGCCAAAATGGGGGTGTGCGCGCATATGGTAGCACCCCAAAAAATGGAAGAGCAGCCCCCCCCCCCAGCGCACATGTACGGGAACACCAGAAACTGGAAGAATAGTTCCCCAGCATGCATACACTGGAGTGCTGGAAACTGGAAGGGCAGTTCTCCATGGTAGTGGATCTGGGTACTTGAGAGACCGCCTCCTGCCGATTACCTCCCTTCGACCAANAAAAGAAAGAAAAAGAAAGAAAAGAAAAAAAGAAAGAAAGGAGGGAAGGAATAAAGGAAAGAAAGAAAGGAAAGAAAGACAGAAAGGAAGGAAGGAAGAAAAGAAAGAAAGAAGGAAAGAAAGGAAGGAAAGAAAGAGAAAAAAGAAAAGAAAGAATGGAATGAAGGAAAGAAAGAAAAAGAAAGAAAGAAATGGAAAGAAAGAAAGAAGGAAACAAAGAGAAAAAAGAAGGGAAAGAAAGAAGAGAATGGAAAGAAAGTAGGAAAGAAAGAGAAAGAAAGAAAGAAAAGGGAGAAAAAGAAAGAGAAAGAAAGGAAAGAAAGAAAAAATAAAAGAAAGAACAGAATACAGGAAAGAGAAAGAAGGAAAGAAAGAATGGAAAGAAAGAAAAAGAAAGAAAGAAAAGGGAGAAAGAAAAAGAAAGAAAGGAAAGAAAGAGAAAAAAGAAAAGAAAGAACAGAATACAGGAAAGAAAGAAGGGAAGAAAGAAAGAGAAAGAAAGAAGGAAAGAAAAAGAGAGAGAAAGAAAGGAAGAGAAAGAAAGAAAGAAAAAGAGAGAAAAGAGTGGGGGAAAATAGAGCTTCCGAAGGGCTTGAAGATTTATCTGGCTTTGGCGGAATGGAAAAATGCTGGGTTTACGTTTGTCCGGCGGCCGCCCAGCCTTCCCGACAGCCGGACGGAGCTCAGCTATTCGAAGCCCCACTCTGTAAATAGTTTATTCGGCAGCAGCGTTGGAGTCTCATAAATCTCACTTTCTTGAGAGAGGAACGGACAGCCCGGCTCGGCCCTCCCTGCGGTGCGGTTGCGGGGGGGGGGGAGAGGAGAGGGAGGGGAGCCCTTTGACGCATCCCGAGAGTTTGCAAAAGGGTCAGAGAAGGATGCGGACGCAAAGTGAGGCGCCAAGAAGCCCTTGGGGAAGGATGGAAGGGGCAGCAGAAACAGTCCTGGGATGGGAAGAGCCCCCCACAAGGGGCATCCGGTCATCCTCAGCCATCGGCCGGCACTTGGGGCTCACACAGAACCACAGGCCGGACCCTCAACTGGACCTCAACCACCCAAGACCGTGATTTTTTAGGCTAGTCTTGCAAAGCTGCCAGAAGTTGTTTATGCTCCAACACTGGAGGTTTCTAAGAGATCGGACAAGGCTTTGTCTGAAATGGTATCGGGCTTCCTGCCTGAGCAAGGGGTTGGACTAGAAGACCTCCAAGGTCCCTTCCAAGTCTTCTCCTCTCTTCTCCTCTTCTCTTCTTCTCTTTCTTTCCTCTCCTCTCCTCTCCCCTCTTCCCATTCTCCATCCCATTCCGGATGGTCATAAGGGTCAAAAACGGTTAAAAAGAGCAGAATGACGGAGTTGGAAGGGAGCTTGGAGGTCATCCAGTCCAACCTAATTAAATACCGGAGAGGAAAGGTTGATAAGTCACTTTTTTCAGTTTGGACTCGGGACACCTTAAGCCCAGCGTGTACCTGAGAAGGTGGAAAATAGCACTTAAGGCTTATATGCCGCTTCACAGTGCTTTCCAGCCCTCTCTAAGTGGTTTATAGAGTCAGCCTCTTCTTCCTTCCCTCCCTCCCTCCCTCCTTCCTTCCTTTCTTCCCTCCCTCCCTCCTTCCTTCCNGAAAACAGAACCTTAAACACTCAAAGAGCCATTTTGACCCATTTTCCACAGAAAAGTAAACACTGGGAGCCACAAAACCCTTCCCTTGCCTGACTATTTCCTGACTGCCCCCCAAACCAGCATATCTATTTGAATTAAAGGTTCTGTTTTCTTCTGAAACTTTTCTTTTCTTGGATTTATACATGGTTGGCCTACTGGGGGTCGAAAAGCTCAATAAATGGTGTGGTGAGGGGGGTCGCACATTGGCAGTTGTGACACATATTTTTAGCGACAGGGAGCCGCAGCAGAGGGATGAAAGAGCCACATGTGGCTCCAGAGCCGCAGATTGCTGATCCCTGGTCTAGCTTACTAAATGTTGCTGCCTGAAGCAAAGGTGTACAGGCAGTCCTTGACTTACGACCACAATTGAGCTCCTCTTAACCCAGTTGTTAAGTGAATCACTGCAATTGTTAAGTTAGTAACACTATTATTAAGTGAATCTGGTTACCCCCTTGGCTTTTCTTGATAGAAGGTCGTAAAAGGGGATCCCCTGACCTTGGGACACTGCAACAGTCATAAATATGAGTCAGTTGCCAAGCATCCTAATTTTGATCATGTGATCATGGGGATGCTACAATGGTCGTAAGTGTGAAAAATGATCATGTCACTTTTCCAGTGTCTCTCTAACGGTCACTAAATAAATTGTTGTAAATCGAGGACTACCTGCATAGCTAAGCACCAAAAGTCCATTCTTGATACAGAAGATGCCTGGGATTTAGTTTTTGCTTGTCTCTGGTGAAATTATAACCTCTTCCATCACTATTGTGAGCAACAGTTTGGCTTACAGGCTACAAGGGAGGCTGGATAACATTAAATAAGGCCTTTATTTATTTCCTCAGCCTATGTACTTTGCCTCACTCCGCCAGTCCCTCTGATTTAACTGAACTACCTGGATTATTGTTCTGAACATATTTATTTTGATTTTTGAAAAACTGGTGTGATACCGCGAGACACTAGATATATAATAGGCAGAGCAGAGAATCTCATTGAGAAATTTATATATGGCAGCACGCACAGAAGTATTTGCTTCCAGCTGAAATATTTACGTTATTAGCAGAAAGCAAAAACAAACTAAAACAAAATGAAGGAAAAAATAAATATTTCTTGCTTATTGTTTTGGCTATGCTTGAAATATATTTTCAGCTTCTCGATAGTTACTTTGAAGTATACCAACATGCTTTAGATTCAGAAGAAAGATTTGCATTGGCCCAAGTAATAACTAACATCATGTACAGACGTCCTCGATTTGATTTCCACCTTGGGTATTTTGTGAACACCTACAGAGATGAATGCACTTGTCTCAAGCTTCACCTCTGCTTGGTGAGAGATATTATGCACCGACAGGTAAGTTTACACTCTATGCAGTAGAACTTTGCAGTAGAGGGTTGCGGTGGCTCATGGCTAACATGCTGAGCTTGTAGATCAGAAAGGTCGGCAGTTTGGCGGTTCAAATCCCTAGCACCGCGTAACAGAGTGAGCTCCCGTTACTTGTCCCAGCTTCTGCCAACCTAGCAGTTCAAAAGCATGTAAAAATGCAAGTAGAAAAATAGGAACCA